TTCTAAATAAAAGCATGCTATCAGGGAACATCATCCTAGTAAAGACAAATTAACTCTGAAACACTAACAGAAGGTTGCAAGAAAAAGATGGGACATTTCTGAAACATTTCCAATAATTTTGCATTTACTCTGAATTCCCTACAGAGTAGTAGCAGATTAAGTTAAACCTTCACACTCTGTAAGAGCTAATTTAATGTCATCTGGGGAAAAAAAAAAAGTCTAGTAAAAAAAAGTCTAGTGAAAAATGGTGCAGAGGAATACTATGTTTTCCTGTAACTGAAAATACAGCCCTTTTCAGAAGATGAAAAAGAACGTGCATGTTGAGGGGCAGGAAAAGAAAAGAAACAATGGGAAATATTCACTTATCCCCTCCCTAAACTGATCTCCTCAGAACGACTACATACTGCATTAAGCAGCCACTGTATAAGAGAAGAGGAAAAGATCAACCTAAATGAAATAAATACTGAATTTGTCTTGCATCTTAAGCTTTGGCAGGGCAGGGTAATTAGCACGGTAATAATCAAAACATGAAGTGTTCACTAAATGGTGGGGCTGAAGAGCACGCTCCCTCTGAGCGCAAACACTGATTAGCGCAGAGCTGTGCATCTTGCAAAGATTCTTCTTCTGTGGTGATGACAGCCTGAGAAAACAATGTCCACAGAGCCATTAATGTGTTGAATACAAATAAAAATACAGGTTATTTTCTCCAATGTGATAAAATACTAAGTAAGACCTCCACAAACCCAAGCCTAAAAAAAAAAAATAGAAGCCTTTAGAGACAAGTAGTGACTTAGAGAGCTGTAACATGCATTAGAAGCTGTTTCAACAACTAACAGCACATGATCACTTTATGTCTTAAATGCATTTGTTCCTCCTATCTTTGGTAGGAAATGAGACAGCTATCTTGTAAGAAGGCAACAAAGACTGTATCTCCTAAACAGTAAGGGCACTGTCAGCAAACCAAAATCTGTGGTTTGCTGCATCAGTTACAGTCTGAAGTGCTACAAACACAGGAACTCACCTGAGTTTTCAAAACTCAAGAAATGGGAATCTTTTCACCACTTAAAAACATGCATAGAGCCCAATATTCAAACTTCGTGGAACACATATTACACAATATGCTGACAGGCTCCTTATATATATACGTTCATATATATATACACACATATATTACACCTGAATAGACTGTTTGGTATCACAGAATCATTTAAGTTAGAAAACACCTTTAAGATCATCAAGTCCAACCATTAACCTAACCCTGCCATTCCACCACTAAACCATGTCCCTAAGCAATACATAATATGCTATGTTCTTAAAAGACTGAGCTACTTTTAGCTTGTTTCTTCCTAATATTTTCCCCAAAGAGCCTCTAAAGGACCACTTACAAAGAATCCCAAGTAGGCAAAAAGCAGATGGAGAAGACAATAGCTTCACTGCACAGAATTCTACGAGAGCAACCAGGTGGGGAAGAGAGATCAAATCATCAAGAGGGGGAAGGAAACACTAACTGGGATATAGCTGCGACATTGTCTGCCAACAACTATCCTGTCTAGTCTAAGAAATCAATGTTTCTCCAGACATTTCTCAATGATCCAAACTATTCCTGAGCTATTTGTGAAAACAAAGGACTGATAAAAATCAATACCAAAAAGAGAAAAGTAGCCTGAAGGCATACGAATAAACATGAATAAAAAGAGGATTTTAGAAGAACTGTGTTTTAACAAAACTCAGAGCTTTTCCATGATAAATCTACCTTCTATTTGTTACACTGTACTACAGTAAGATAACTTCTGTAGTACGAACCCCAACCACACCATCCACATTCTGTTCAATTCAATTATAAAAATATAAGGTAGCTTAATAAGGTATTTGATAAGACAAAAACATGAGCTCAGATACCAGTATTATTTGCTCCAAAGAAACTGAGAAAGATTTTTAGAAAAGGGGCAGGTTGAGGGGTATTTTGTATAAAGGGGTTTGTAACTCCGAGGCCCCCTTATCACAGTACAAATAGTAATAAACAAATAGTAGTTGACAATATGTTACCAACATAGAGCTCTGCACTCAATTAGAATTCAATGCATGTGTCTGTAAAGATGTATCCACTGCCTTTGCTCATGCAATTGCCACTTTTTAAATGCAGTACTTAGTATTATTGTGGTTTTTCAGAGGGCTCTTTGGACAAGCTGAAATATTATCTATGCACTTCTTGATGAAACTACTTGCAAAAAGGAAAAAAAATAGCACATTAAGAGATTGTACTTGGGTTAAACACAGCTTAGCTTTATTTTTAACAGATTTCTATCACTTACAGCTTCCTCAAACTACAAAGGTACAGATATATAGTGTTTATAGGAATTGTATTTTCTTATATGGGCTATTTTGTTTTATTAATTGTTTTTCTTTAGCCTAATATGCTCTAAAGCATATTGAAAGATTTTTTAATAGAACTCCAGATAGTTAAACTTCTACCTGATTAAATTAAACATTTTTAAAAATACAAATTTTAAATTCATCAACTCCACTTTTTATGTATTTATGTATCAGAAGTTTGAAGCATAACTAAAAATAAACCTGTGTGTGACAAAAGAGCACTAGGAATAAAACAAGAAAATAAAAAAACTCACAGAATTACTTAGCTAAAACAACCCCTCTAACTTAAAAGCAAAAAAAAATGCCAACAAGCCAAACCAAAACCTAGCTCATACTAAACACAGGTGAAGATTCTGCTGTTACCTAAAATACACATATATTTTGATTACTTAGCATTTCAAGGTTATGCCATATAGCCTTATATAAAAAACAGCCAAGTTAATGCATTGTTTGGGTTTATCGCCAATAAAAATTATCCACAACACATAAAGCTGACTAGATTAGCTAAGGGTTTACAGGGAGGAGTGGTTTTGAAGAGTTTCTTTTGGTGGTTGGTTGGGTGGGGGAGCATTTCGTGGGGTTGGTTTGTTTGGGGTTTTTTTTAAACAAGCCACAAGGAAAGCAAAACCTAGGTACTGCAATCCTACTGACTGCTACATAATTGTTGCTCAGGAATCTTTAAATCAATCTATTAATGCACTGTACAGTGTTCTCAGCAAAGATAAATCACATAATCCTTTGAATCACTGCTGTATTTCATGCACTGGGGTAGGGAGGCAACGAGAGAAAGAAGGGAAGTAATCTTTAAGACTGCAAAGATTAGAGAGACAGCCACATATAAATATTGTTTATTAAACTTTGATGATGAAAAGGTTAACTTAGTGCACTGATTTAGCATATGCCTGTTTGTTTGATTTTCAAGAGTAACACTGGATTTATATTTTTCTTACATATATAAACAAATGAGAGATGCTTCAACGCAGCAGGTTTTTTTCTTTTTTTAAACAAGTGAAAAACAAAGACCATAAAAGATATAATAGATAGCGTCAAGGACTTAAGAGACAAAAAATAATTGTATGAGTTAGAAAACTTCTGTAATATTCTAAACAGGCGAAGAGTTGCATCAGCCTCAAATTAGACATCTACTTATAGCTCAACTAAATACAAGCAAGAAGTTCTTCACATTGCATCACTATTTCAGCAAAAGAGAAGGCAGAAACAAACCAAAAAATAAAACATTTCTGAAATTAAATTCTAACTGCTAAGTTCCGGTATCTCAAAGGCAAAACTATTTTTGATTATAGAAATTCACAGGAAAAGTATGAGAAAGTATCAAGACATTTTTGTTCCTATACAGTCTAACTGTGTCCTTGCTGGACAGCTGTCAAAATCCCATTTGACAAAGTGTTCTAAAATGGCATTGCAAAAATAACATCAGTTAGAACTGACAATTTACTTTCACACTTTTTTTTAATGAGACCCTCAAATGACAATGAAAGGTATCTATATAGCTCATTCAGATTTATCAACCAAATTTATGATTCTGCAAATCCATTAAATGAATACATTTAAGTATTTAATTCTCGTCTCACTGATTTAAACTAGTTCTCCCATGTACTTGAAATTAAAATCATTCTTCTGTAGGAAAACCAGTTTTTTTAAACAAGATCTTATCCTTTCCTTCTCCAACATTCTAGTCCACTCCAAAATGACTGTTCAAAAAGTAAACTACAAAGTTTCAACAGTTTCAAATTCCCTCAACAAATTCCCTTCTATTAAAGGTGTATCATGCAGAACTGTTGACATATACATACTAGTACTTAGAAATACCCTATTAACTGCTGTCCACAGCTAAATTATATAGGCTTCATTACTTCAAATTTGTCCATGTCACCACCTCCCTCCCACATGTTTTTAATCTTCTCCTAAAAGTTTTTTAAAAAGCAGCAGCTTAAAAATAGATTAGGTCCAACCTTCTTGTGCCTGTTCTGTAGTATCAGTTTTTCTCCTTACCGTATGTAGAATTGCAAATTAAGCTTGCGTTGTTTTATGCTAGATTTATATTTTCACTATCAATTAACACTGTAAATTAATTTTCAGGTTTGTGCATCTTTTCCCTTTTAAAATCTTCAGACCTTTGCAAAGCCTTTTAGAGTGTCTAGTTACTTTACACTCTCTGCTTCCTGGCAGTAGTATTCTCTGTTAAGTCTTGATCTTTGCTTTTAATACCAAATTTTTTTACCATTTTCTATACCCTGTGTTCTATGTAGTTATCCCTTAATGGGAGTTTTTTTGAAAAGCCTTCCTTCATTTTAAGTTAACGTAAGCAAACTTTAAACTATCAACTACTTTCCACTATGAATTCCACGGTTAAATGTCAAACATCTGGTAACAGTTGCCATCGATTATCTTACCAAGCCTGGTACCAAAAGCCTTAAATATTTTAACCATTTTACGACATAAAAGGAATAGTGGCAGGAGGTTAATAGGAACTGACCTATTCTAGTGTAAATGTCTATCTAACTGCTGTGGGGTTTTGATAGCTGATTTTCACCCAGTTTAACTGGTTCTTGAAAAAGGAGGATTACAGACATTATGAGTCAGCTTTAATCAGTTACACAACTAACCTTTTGCTCTGTTTGCAGTTGGTCATATCTCTGCTTTTCATGGTTAAGTTCTTTTTCCAGTCTTTCAACTTGATCTCTGAGTTGTGCCGCTTCCTTTTCCAGAACAGAAGTTACCTTTAATAGCTCTTCTTTTTCTTTTATTATTTTTTCAATTTTAAACTGTAAAAACAAAAACATTGGGTTTTGGTAATTTTTCTCCCCTTCATTCCTATCAAATAAATGGATACCAAGTCACTGCAGTGTTTGAGCAGAAGCATAAAATGCATGTCCTCTGGCTATGTTATTTCACAGTTTTCCCCTTATTCCCAAATTTCTTAAGTTTCATTGCTTGAATAGTACTACATTACCATTAGACAGCACACTTTGTGGTGTCTTGATTTATACTCAATTTTTCCCTCCTTAAGTGAAGTGCCTTTACTGCTCCCAAGTGACAGCAACTATGGAGGAGCTAACTATGATGATGACAGTTTGCTGAAAAAATGGCTGCTGAGTGTAGGGACACACAACACTCTAGAGCAATGTTTGAGGAATTTCACCAAAAAATGAACGCACACATAGCCAAAAGTAAGGACTGGCACATAATTGAGGCCTTTCAATACTTCAAGGGGACTTAGAAGAAAGATGGGGACAGGCTCTTTAGTAGGACCTCTAGTGATAGGACAAGGGGTAATGGTTGTAAACTAAAAGAGTGTAGATTCAGACTAGATAGAAGGAAGAAATTTTTTACGGTGAGGGTGGTGAAAGACTGCAACAGGTTGCCCAGAGAGACTGTAGATGCTCCATCCCTGGAAACATTCAAGGTCAGGTTGGATGGGGCTTTGAGCAACCTGACCTAGTTGTAGATTTCTCTGCTCATTGCAGGGGGGGGGTGGGAGGGAGGGAGTGGACTAGATGACCTTTAAAGGTCCCTTCCAACCCAAACCATTCTATGATTCTATGAACCAAGATAATCAAAAAGCCTTGAAAAAAGTTTTTTTATTTAATTTTAGTACTATGAGTACATATCTGAAAGGCATAAATATCCCAGATGTACCTCTGTATGATGCAACTGACAACAGGATAAAACATCTGATAGCAAGGTAAGGAAACTGTATTGACCCATTTTCCAATAAGCAACTCATACAATCAAGTTGGTTTTGGTTTGGGGTTTTTTGGGGGGGTGTGGTGCCTTTTTTAAGTAGTTTTCAGCCCACAAAATGTCAACAAGCAAACACAAACATCTTGAGTCTGGATGTAAACATGCAAGTCTAACCACATCCATCTAGCAAAGAACATGACACACAGAACACTGCTTTAAATAAAACAAGAGCTATTCTAACATACTTCAGCACCTGCAATTATTCAGTTTAGTTTCCAGGGCTCTTCACTTGTGCACAAATGCAAGTACACTGGTTCCTTAATTTTTTTTCCTTACAACAAGCACCATTTCACACAAAGGGCATCTTTCCCTGTCCAGTTAGTTGAAGAGTACAGATGCAAGAGACAGACAACTATCTATTCTTACAGTTTCCCAGTCTGTGCTTAGTGCTACACCATACCTGTAACCAGTTTAAAATCTTTAGTCATTTAACCTGCAAATGTTCTGAACTCAAATCAAATACTGGAGAACAAGCCAGGAACATATACATTACACACACACGAGTAGCTTTTTTCCTCCTGGTCTGTTCTTCAATACTATATCCTGGGAGTGTATGTATATTAAAAAAAAAAAAAAAAAGAAAAGAAAAGAGAATATTATAAGAATTGTTGAACCAAACCTCAAGAAGTCCAGTTTTTGTGGTCACCACTAACATATCAGAGTTTCCTTCATCTTCCATAGTGAGCAATTCTTCAACAGGGGAAGAGGTACGAAACTGGAAAGGTGTGCTTGCTCCACGGATTTCTCCTTTATGAGTCACGTAACAGAACTGGTAAAATTCTCCATCATCATTTGGTAGATAATATCCTATCAAAATAAATTCATATTTGAAGAAACATTCTACACAAACATACAAGTCTCCATCTGGAAATAGATTATCAGATCATGTTTGACTTATTACCTCAGAAAGGCAGAGATAAATCATCAAAACAGCAGAAAGGAAAAGTCATCCTATTTAGTAACTCTCAGCCCCCAGCAATTTCTCCTACCTTTTAAGACAAACACCAAAACTGTGTCAGGTAATACGTGCTATATGTACACATCACCTTACATATATTAGGTAATAGCTGCTGCTTATATATTTATGAAACAGCTAGAATTATTACCAATGAAATGCCCTGAAGCTGGATCAGCACCACGTTATTATGTAACTGTTGCACAATCACAGAACAAAGAGGAAGCAAGTTTTTGGCCTTGGAATACTTATACAATCGAAGACAACAAAGACAGAATAAAATGCAATGACAAGACATCTGCAACTTTCCCAGGTTACATTTTTTGCGTGTTTTTTTGCAGAGTAACCACAATTTACTTTTGCTATTTTTAAATGCTCAAGCACAGGAATGTGCTTTGAATGGATGACAGGAATGTGCATATGAATGGATGACACAATGTTAACAAGATGCAAGTATGGAGGGGGTCCATAGTTTAAAAAAAAAAAAAACAGCTTATTTTTCAAAATTGAAAAAAAATTCTTCCAGACTTTGCAAGGTAAGAATAAATCACCTGTCTTATAGCTATGTAATACTGTATGCTGCTAGAAAATTATTTCAGAAGAATTTCTGTGTGAATTGAACTGAACTGTTGCCCACTAAAGCATCAGATTCAAGCCTTTTATATCACCTGAATTTGCATGGTAATATTTGTGGATGTTAAACAATCATTTCCAGAACTAGTGAGTTTTTTTACATTTTTTACTAAATGCAAGAAACCACACCATATGCAGTTTAATGGAAAGAAAACCAACTCGTTTTACTCAGAACACTTAATTACCAGATACCCTAGCCAGTCTGAGTATGATACTAGCATATTAAATCCTCACCGAATGTTCAATCTAGCAGGTGATGTCACCAATTTCTGTTCATATTTCACCACAATTCAATCTGCCCCCTTTCTAACTTTACCATTAATTTCTACTTACCAACTTTTATTCCAGATTCCTGGAAGACTTTTCCTAATACTCTTAGCTACTTTTCCGACAAAAGGTAAAATATTACATGTGCTATATGGACAGCACTTGTATCAAGCACTTCATGCTTCCATTAGTCTTATACTTTATTAATAAACTGTGGCTCAGGGAATAGTATCTTAATTTTAAATCCTCAGGATCCTGTGCTTTTGGACCTGACTATGCTTTCCTATATAGCACTGCAGTTCAGTTTACCTGATTCAATGCTTAAATAAAGTGACACGATGCAGAAACAAATACAGAACAATCTACTTTACAGCTCCAGCAAGTTTTAATATTGGTTCAGACAAAGTGATTTTACTTAAAGTCTTTTTTCTTGTATCTAACATGTACTGGAGAGAAAAGATTCCTCATTATTTTCTTTCAGCACACCTACTTGATCATTAAAAAAAAAAAAAAAAAAAAAAAATCTATTTAAAGCATGCTCCACAACATTTAATATTTATCTCAGTTAATTAAGCTTCTGTAAGCTCTACTGATCTCATCTCAGCAGCACTAAAATATCTTGCCAAACACAACCTGGAGACTGAACAGAGATTAAATCTGGCAGCTCTATAAACTGGTGGACTGTATGCATGGAATGTAACAGATGGGACAGTTACCTGGTCTCTTCATGTGTAGTAAAACAAAGGACTGATAATGGCATGTAGAGTCCTAGACTTCTAGGTCCCTTTTAGTTTCAGTCCAACTCAATATCACTATTCAGTGAATTTTGGTGACTGTAGAAGAAACTAATGACTTCCTTCCAGTTCCTACATAGCAGACATACTTTTCACAGATTTCAAGGTTATAAAATGGTCAGATCATGTGGGAATGATCATCATCAGAAATACCAGAAAAAATTATTTGGGGTAAGAGTAAAAACAGAGCACTCATCCAAGCTACCAATGTTTGCAGCTTTAACAAGACAACAAGCTAACACAGTAGATATTTTAAAACTTGCTATTTTTCTCTATATTTTAAGCAATAAACATACACAAAGACCAAAGCCAACTTTGGGAAGCAAAAAGTAACATAAGATGGTACATAAAATTCTGTTAGTAAGCAGAAAAGCATTAAACAACTTTAATGGGAGATGCTCTTTTTACATGCAACTTTGAATGCATGTAGATTTTTGACGTTTGTAGTGTCCTGCGGCAAGAAGTTCTGCACATTGATTGTGTTACACATGTATCATCTCTACCTCCATTTTGAACCTGCCACTTGGTAGCTTACATCAATGGCTCCTACTTCTTTAAATACGAACAATGGATAATCCATGCATGCCATGGGTAACTGATTTTAGAGACATCTGTCACTTCCCATTATTTCTCTTTCCCAGGCTGAAAAATCCAGCAGAAGGATGTTCTGAAGGTCACCTAGTCTAACTTATCATAGAATGGTTTGGGTTGGAAGGGACCTTAAAGGTCATCTAGTTCCAAGCCCCCTGCCATGGGCAGGGTCACCTTCCACCAGACCAGGTTGCTCAAAGCTCCATTCAACATGGCCTTGAACACTTCCAGGGATGACGCATCTACAACTTCTCTGGGCAACTTGTTCCAGTGCCTCACCACCCTCATTATGAAGAATTTCTTCCTTATATCTAACTTCCCACTCAAGAGACCATTGTCAGCACCAGTCTGAGACTACCATGGCTGTGCCTAAGCAAGTGTGTGAAATTCCCATCCTTCCAAACCAGGAATACCTGTTCAAGTGCTACACTACTCCCTCTTGGTAAAAAAGTTCTTCCTAATGTGAGACATAAACCTCCCAGGCCACAATTCATGGCCATTGTTCCTTTTTACATTTAATAACAAGGTTGTGGCTCTGGCATCTTTTTTGTCTGACCTGGATAGACTGGAGAGCTGGGCGGAGAGGAACCTGATGAAGTTCAACAAGGGCAAGTGTCGAGTGCTGCACCTGGGGAGGTCAAACCCCATGCACCAGTACAGGCTGGGGGCTGACCTGCTAGAAAGCAGCTCTGCTGAGAGGGACCTGGGAGTCCTGGTGGACGACAAGCTGACCATGAGCCAGCAATGTGCCCTTGTTGCCAAGAAGGCCAATGGTATCCTGGGGTGTATTAAGAGGAGTGTGGCCAGCAGATCGAGGGAGGTTATCCTCCCCCTCTACTCTGCCCTGGTGAGACCCCACCTGGAGTACTGTGTCCAGTTCTGGGCTCCCCAGTTCAAGAAAGATGAGGAACTCCTAGAAAGAGTCCAGAGGAGAGCAACTAGGATGATAAAGGGACTGGAGCACCTCCCCTACGAGGAAAGGCTGAGAGAGTTGGGCTTGTTCAGCCTGAAGAAGAGAAGACTGAGAGGGGACCTTATCAACACATACAAATATCTTAAGGGCAGAAGTCACGAGGATGGAAGCAGTCAAGAAGTCCTGTGTAGAATGCTCTAGGAGAGCCTGCTTTAGCAGGGGGTTTGGACTAGATGATCTCCCGAGGTCCCTTCCAACCCTTGCAATTCTGTGATTCTGTGATTAACTCCACACCTTTGCACAGAAGCTATTTCTTGATTTTGATCTTCCTTGTTGCACTTTGTTCATTTGTGCTACTAGATCTTTTCTGAGATTAGGAAGGGCAGGGAGAGGATCTGATCTCCACACAGTGTTGAAAATACAGTTATACTATGGATTTGAACAATGGTGTAACATTCTCTTTTGTTCTTCATTCTTTTCATAAAAACTTCAGTCATTTTCATCAATACCTCATGGTCCTCTGCTACTCTCTGACAACTCTGAACCTTGACCAAACCGTCATCTACATTGTTTATTTTCACAAGAATCACCTTACCTTGAGAATGTTTAAAGTCCAGAGACTAAAGACAATGTAAAGACACAGTACGTTAAGAGATGCCAAGATTAAAAAGCCCTGCTGAAGATTTAACAACGTCATTTTCTGTGTTTGAATAGTTTCCAGCAGAGCTTCTCTATCAATCATGAATATTGTCCATTACTACGTAAAAACATACTACATCACATAATTTCCCTTACAATTTCCTTGACATCTAAAAGAAGACTGAACTTCACAGGATGAAGTATGGAAAATTCTCCTCCAATTTACGTTTGCAAGTCTAGAACTGTTATACAACTCTCAGCGTTATAACAAAGAGGTAAGTATTCAAAAAGCTGTATAGGTTGGAAAATACAGGTAGATAGTGCTTTATATTCACCTTGAAAAGTCAGCACACAGTTAACAGTTGATCCTTCAACATAATTTTCTGGCATAGGTGACCAAAGAAATGTATAATAATCTCTTGCAGTACTCCAACCAACCTAAAATAAAATAAACCACAACAAAAAGAGAAAACATTAAACAGAAGAATTTGTTATATACAGTTAAGATACCATGCTCTGGCCTTTACAATGTACTGGAGTATGCATATTTCTGCTTCAACATGCAATAAAAAGATACTTAACAATGTTTACAAATCAGGAATATTTTAACAAGCATGTCAAAGATTTAGCATGAATTTTATTAAGCTTGTTACCTAAGGCAATAAATGGGTCTAAGGCAATAAAAAGGTCTATATAAATTAAAACACCAGACAGTTTTCACTATACATTGAACTACTATTTGGTACATTTTTTTTTCTATAAAGATACATATTAGTATATTAAAAATACAAAAATATTAATTCTGAATTTTATAGTGAGCTTTTTTTCTTAGTGTAAGTTCTGCCAACGCTGACTATTTTGTGTCCGTAAACCAACAGGTTCATCAGAAAACAAAAAGGAGGAAAGAAAAAATAGCATGCTCTTCTACTGAAAAGGCCAAATTTGACAGGGCTAAACTAGCGCTTTTTAGACAATTTCTGCAATACTGAAGACCAGCATTTCACTGGAATGCTAATTCTTCCATATGTACATGCTATGTCTGCAAGGGGAAAAAAAAAAATCTTGCAGGAAAACCTAATTCAGCTAAGTCGGTGCAACTTTCCCACTAACTTGGATAAACATCTGCTTTCAGTCTTTTCATAAGAGTGCAGTTCTGTACCGGAATGCATGCCATCCTCTGAAGAAGCATTCCAACAAGCTTGAGATACATGTATCTAAACCCGAAACCCAAAGCAACTACTGTAAAGCAATGAGTATTACAATAGCATAATGGTAAAGGAGAAGAACAAATGTATCTGCTTTACTCCACCAACTTAAAAAAATACCAAAACCCTTGTCAAAAGCTGGGTGTAGTATGATTTATCAGTAACTGGGTATATTGTCTTGGAAGACTGAAGAGGAAAGGGGACAAATTGTTTACCAATTTCTATCAGGTAGGACAGCATTTCAAGAGGGATAAGAAACAAAAAAAAAAAAAAAAGAAAAAAACAACAACCAAAACAAAAGTGACCAGTCATGATTTCTATTACTTCAATAGACAAGACTTCTAAACTTCAAGTTCATACCAAATCCTCCTTTACAAAGGATACATTGCAATAGTATTTTAGAAACATTAAGGACTGGGTTTTTTAAGGATTTTTTAGCTTAAAAAAAACCAAAACAGATAGGCAATGAGAACAGCAGAACTGAAAGTAATTCAATAGCAATTGTATACGTATAAAGGTATACATTTCACACATGAAAATTCATAATTTGCATTAGTAAAAAAAATTCTGTAGAGATTATTCCATAGCTGCCCACTACACTTCCTCACTTAGTATTAAAAAGTGCGGGAAAAGCTAATGTTTGGGGGGGGAAAAAAAAAAAAAAAAAAAAAAAAAAAAAAAAGAACTGGTCTGAGATGACCAGGCCTTTTTTATATTCTTAAAAAGCAAGGATGAGAGACCGCAAAACCAGATAAAATTTTCATTTTGCTAACTAAAGTCACTTCTTTAAGGCAACATTCATTAAAGAGAAGCAGTGCAGACTTCTAACACATCCGCCAAAATGGAATCACATCTTAAACCTATTCTTAGCCAAAATTTTGAAGATTTCTGTGATAGCTCCTACCAAGGAGCTTTCAAATATGTGAATGAAATGAGATTTCCTGGGGTTGTTATTCCCACACTGTTAAATAGCTCAGAAATAACAAGCAAAGCTTCCCCAGTTAACTTGAAGGGGGGGTGAAAGCAACCTTTCCTCGATAAAAATTCATGGGAAAAACATTCTTGCAAATTTTTACATTAGCCATGTCTTCAAATCCAAATCAGATGTTACTACTCCCTTTTTGCTGAACCTGCTTTTACCTTAGAAAAGGAAAGCATATACCATTACTTGCTGCACTAAAATAAAGCAAGCAGATAGCTTTGTAGTTCTCCGTGAGTAAAAAGCCCCTATCTTGTTCTTTTTAATTTCAGAAACGAAACTGAATTATTATGTTCAGAACAAATACTGTATAGAATTGAAGTAATTTTTTCATCCTACTCTAGTTTTCATTTCTGTTTAAAAAAAAAAACCAAACCACACACTCCAATTCTGATGCTATTTGCCTGAATAAAATAACATCTTTCCTTTAGATAATTAACACTTTGGAAAACAGAGATGGAGTAAAACCAGTGAAAATTTAAAAAAAAAAAAAAAAAAAAAGGTCCCTCTAAGAGATCAACTCAATTTCTGATTCAATTTTTCTCTGGGATTGTAGATTTTTTTTTTTTTTTTTTTTTTTTTAAGTGGGATGGGGGAGAGAATCGGGAAGAAAATAAAAGGTTAGAGCCGAGGGCTGAGATAAAGACAGTTAATAAGAGAAAATAATAATAATAGTAATAATGAGAATGATAACAGAATATACAGAATATACAAAACGAATGATGCACAATGCAACTGCTCACCACCCGCCAACCGATGCCCAGCCCGTCCCGAGCCGCGATCACTCCCCGAGCCGCGATCGCTCTCCCCACAACCAACCGACTGACCAACCCCCTCGAGATTGACGTTCTATGGTATGGAATAGCTCTTTGGTCAGTTTGGGTTAGCTCTCCTAGCTGTGCTGTACTCCCAGCTTGTTATGCACCTGGCCGAGCAGGAGAAGCTCAAGAACTCCTTGAGTAGTCTGAGCACTGCTTGGCAACAACTAAAAACATCAGTGTGTTACCAACATTCTTCTGGTACTAAATCCAAAACACAGCACTATGCTAGCTACTATGAAGAAAATTAACTCTATCCCAGCCGAAACCAGGACAAACCAAAAGTTATTTTTATGAATACTTTACCTGTAACAGTAATCCACATAAGCATTTTTGGGTTTAGGGTCATTTAAAACTTTAGTTATACCAATACAAACAAAAAGAATAATTACATAGAGAAGAAATAACTCTCCTGGCCTGTTTCACAGCCGGTGCCATACTTCCAAGTGTGACTCTAACTTGTGGGTTACTGGTAAAGAGAGGACTGTGACACATCGAGAGCTAGTGGGCAATACCCTGGAAAGTTTAACCCTCATGTATTTTCTCCAGCAATTTCCCCTATTTCCTGTCACTCATTGTCTGCTTCCCCTAGCAAAGCTCCCCATCTTACACTCTTACAATCCTGAGAATCCACTCATTTCTTAAAGGGGCCCATGCAAGTTATCAGCAGGTGTGGACTACCCAATGGCTCTTTCCAATGCAGAGGATTTCAGAAGATGAGGGCCTTCCCTGCTACAGGTGGCACATGTCAAAATGTGACAATGCAGAGACGGAAATATGAACAAATCTCATGTTCCTCACAGTTGCATACATTTAAAAAGGGGAAGTTTGTGTATTCTGCAGCAAAGCAAGTTAGTAACGTTATTCAATGTCTTTCCTACTTAACAATGATTATCATTAACTACCACAGGATTATTTCTTAGATGACAGAAACAAGGAGCAAAACCAAAGTAACAATATGCTGAGAAAAAAATAAAGACAAAATTAAGTAATGGATAGTTTAGGCCTAGAATCTAGATAGAGGGGAGGGGAGAAAATATCAACAGGTTTTAATGAAACCTTTGGTTTAGTACTTTATATCTTTTGACAATATTCTCTTTAATAAGCCTAGAATGAAGTACACAGTGGTTCAGAAATACAAAATACTCCTACACAGTCCTAATCTTCTCTATGGCAACAGATTATACTATCACAGATATAAGACTATAAACACACATTGAATTGCTCAGCAATGACCTAAATGTGACCTTTGACAAAGATCTTTCTTTCCGCTCAGAAGGAAAACCAATAATTTCCCCAAAATAGGGCTAAAACTACGCAAAGAAATTTTAAGATTGCTTACGAGAAAGGAAACAAAAATTGAGACAAATCAAAACTAGTGGCAAAAGCTACAAAGCAAATCAACAAAAAGTGAAAATTATTATGAGGAAGATGGAAACACCTGTCAATAGCCCAACAGTGATTTTTTTATGAAAAACAAAACACTGTAGCTCTGGGAGCAAAATTAACAGCATTCTCATCATCAGGCATATTAGCTTGGAAAAAGTATTTTCATTTTAATGAAAGGAATCAGGAAAGCTAGACTGTTTCTCTGACTGCTGATCAAGGCCACAAAACTTACTACAATTAACACAGACTATCTTCTAGGTTAGTCTCTGGACAGGGAGAATAGTCCAAATCCCTGCCCTGGTTTTGGCTGGGATAGAGCAAATTTTCTTCCTAGTAGCTGGTATAGTGCTATATTTTGGATTTAGTATGATAAGAATGTTGATAACGCACTGATGTTTTAGTTGTTGCTAAGTAGTGCTTAGACTGGCCAAGAACTTCTCAGCTTCCCATGCTCTGCCAGGTACACAAAAAGCTGGGAGGGGGCACAGCCAGGACAGCTGACCCCAACTGGCCAAAGGGATATCCCACATCATATGATGTCATGCTCAGTATATAAACTGGGGGAAGAAGAAGGAAGGGGGGGACCTTCAGAGTGATGCCATTTGTCTTCCCAAGTAACCATTACACGTGATGGAGCCCTGCTTTCCTGGACCTGGCTGAACACCTGCCTACCCAAGGGAAGCAGTGAATGAATTCCTGGTTTTCCTTTGCTTGCACATGTGGCTTTTGCTTTACCTATTAAACTGTCTTTATCTCAACCCACGAGCTTTCTCACTTTTACTCTTCTGATTCTCTCCCCCATCCCATTGTAGGGGGAATGAGAAAGTGGCTGTGTGATGCTTAGTTGCCGGCTGGTGTTAAACCACAACAATCCCCCACAAGAACCCATTTGTTATGAAGACCTTACCTGGACTACACTGACAGAAGTACCATTATTTAAGGCAAATGTCCACATAAGGAGGTTTTGTTGCCTTTTTTGTTGTTTCTCTGTTGTTTGTTTGGTTTTTTAACTAAAAAGACCATTACAGCAACTGGCCCATACAACTT